GGGGGTACAACGGAGCTGATCCAGATTTGCGTCCGATATGACGTAATATCTGAAATGTGGACCCACGGCCCTATCAGAAAGTTGCTATCAGAAACAATGCCCGACTGTTTTGGACGTAATATGGTCGGTGTTTACATTAGCATCGCTAACACTCAGAGCTAACCTGTACTGGAGAGCATGTGTGTGAAGAAGCAGGAAATAAAAAGGAACTCACCTTGTGGTATAACCGGCAAAAGAGAAAGCCTTTGAGCTCCATACTGTTAGAAATAATCCATGATATGGCGTTTCGTCACCGCAGTATTTAGTTTAGACACTAGCTGCCGGGTCCCGCATGAGCTCATCCCCCTCCTTTTTTCTTTTTTATCAATTTTTCTTTTTTTAAAGCTTTAAAGATATGTTTGGTATTTTGAGCAAAACACTTCATAGACATGTTTTTTATATTTTTATATATCTGAGACCTATGCTATTGCCTAAAAATAGCATGATAGGTGACCTTTAAGTGAGTGAAGCCAATGTTAGGTAACTGAAACTCAGATCTGGTGGAGATAATGATGTGGGCCTACATGCTGGTTTACACGAGCAGTAACACAAATGTACTTGTTTGGAAAACCATTGGCTGGTCGCTATATATGTGTTTCCCGAGTAAGGTCCGTTAGATACATATATTGTCTGTACATTTGTAATTTTTCAGTTGGTGGAAATATATATATACTGGGCAATTTTACCTCTGCAAATGAACAGTTAGGAGGAAAACATGATTCTTTAATTGATCTTATCATACATGGATATGCACCCTTTAACATAGGGGTTTTCTATTGAGAGGTCACAACCCAAAATAAAATTATTAAAATGTGTGTTCTGTCAACCAACTGGTAGAAATGTTATACTTGGCATCTTGTTCTGTCGGTAGAATACTATATACTTTGTCACATTATTTGAGCATATTATAAGTTTAAACAATGTTTTCACAGGTTGTGAGCAACTTGACCTACAACAGTATGGCCATGCATGAAGATGTGGACACTCACACTCTGAGGAAAGCTCTGTGGAACTACATCCACTGTCTGTACGGGATACGGTAAGTACCACACACTGTTGGAAATATAGAAGGTTAAATTGTTTTATGTTTCTGCTAAATCTGACTTTTTATCACTGTACCTGTGCAGCTACGACGATTACGACTACGGCAGCGTTAACGTGCTGCTGGAGCGCTCGCTGAAGGTGTTCGTTAAGACCATGGCCTGTCACCCGGAGCAGACCACGGCACGCGTTTATCACGCCTTCTGGAGACACTTCAGACACTCGGAAAAGGTACGCACGAGTTCAAACACTCACCTGACCCGGCCTCTGGAGCCACAATGAATTAATCATTTAACATTTTCACACGCCATCTCTTTTTGGTACCTTCGCGACAAAGAGTGAATCATTTGACATTTCAGCGTGTCCTCTCTTTTTTCTTTCCTTTTTTAATATGTCATTATTGAAGTACGCTTTAAATTACAGACAGGACATTTGAGTGTGTCACCTACTAATGTGACTTGACTTATTCCTTTTCTTTCCTTTTCTTCGCAGGTTCATGCAAACCTAATAGTGATGGAAGCCCGGCTACAGGCAGCCTTACTTTATGTTTTACGAGCCATCACACACTACATGAGATGACACACTCTCTCTCACACATTTTTGCAGATGCTGAGCCAGCTGTGACAAACCACAGCCTAATGCACAACACGCACACGCACACGCACACGCACACACTACAGTGAATGTTTATGCATATCTTAAGTTCCAGTGTTAATGTTTTGATGCTGCTTTGCGACTGGGATATCTGATATTTAAAAATTGTTACTTATTTTGCACTGAAATCTATCAGGTTTTGTTTCTGCCTTTGAGCCTCAAGTGTTGTTGTGAATATCTTGCACATATTTCTGTCAGACAAAGACATATCTACAAGCTACTTGCCAGGTAGGATTAGGTCTGGTATAACCAAATTATCTTCATGATTCTACTGTTTGACATATCTATTCAAGCTAATAATGATCATACAGACTACTCATGCCTCAGTCCTCTCCGTCTGCAGCACACAGAGGCTGAAATCAAAACAGACAAATAACTTGTATTTTTGTGTACAATAAAAAATTACTTTGTTATGAAAATGACTGTCTGGACATAATTTTCTGCCAAGAACAATTCAACAAAGCAAATACTCTATGTCTCTTTGTATTCTGATTTGACAAGCCCTTCACTGTGCGTGTGTTGCATCAGGAGTTGCGTTATCTCACCACAAGATGGAGACAAAGACTCAGAGAAATGTGAAAGGTCACCACAGTTAACTTTGCCAAGTCATTCTTCAAGATAGTTGGTAAAAGTGAGACAGACAATAGATATATCCTTTTTCTTGAGTTGAGGTTCAATGTAATATCCAAAGTCATATCATTGTGAGACATGCTGGTAAAGCACACACAAGGGAATAGTCACTCTTGTACGCGGATATCACACATTTTGTTTAGTCTTCCTGTAGTTCACACTATTGAGTGCTTGTGTCGCCTCTCACCCTGCCTGTCAGTCAAACATCGAGAGAGAAAATACCCAAACTGCATCATCACCAGCTACTGCCGGTTTACAGGGACTACATGCTACAAGTAGCCTACTTCCACAATAACTTTCTGGTTTTTTAGCGTGATTTAATGCAAACTCTTTATCAGAGTAATCTAATTCAACTTCCTTTTCTTTGCGTTTTCTGCAAGGGTACCTGATAACAGTCAACATTATTGTGAAAGGTAGTTTCAGGTTTGATCTTAAACGCTAATGTCCTTATATTTTGAAGGAGAATAAGTATACATAATTGAATAGGTTGTAAATGGGCGTTTCCATAATTTCTCAAAGGAAAAGTAACAGTTAAAGTTATAATTTGTATTTTAAACATCAGTAGGTCTTGTACTGTCCACTACACGCGCTTTCCTCTGGGGTGGACTTCGTCGCGCGCTTGAAGTCCGCTCCCAAAGCCTTCCGGACGAGGCGCGCGCACACTTCTTTTTCACTTGCTCGCGGCTTTTCACCCTGCTAGACACCGGACACCACTAACTCACATCGGGACGACAGGATTCCCCGGAATAAAGACCTTTTTTTCGTCAGGTATGTCTCCTTTAATTATAATGTCTGAAATGGTAATATATACATGTCAGTCTAACAGTCGTATAATTAGAAAACCTTTGCTTTGATGTCTTAATGCTTTACCAGCAAATAGTGGGAATTCCACAAATCTTGGTACATAGTTCTGTAGTTTTCCATAATAACCTGTCAAATGGATTTTAGTTTTTTTAATTGGAACAGTTATCTTCTGTATGAGTGGAGGAAGTTGGTTCACACCTCAGTGAAAGAGACTAAATGTAACTAAGGTGGGTATAACTACAGAACTTGCATAGATTGATTATTTTCAGCAGACCACCACCCAAGGCACTCTCTAATCTTTTTCTTTTTTAGACAGAAATCTGCTGACAATTTACAGTGTTTTTAAAAATTGTGTAACATGTCAACTGTGAGATAAAAGGAAGTTTGGGTATTTTGCTTGTGAAAAGTTAATGCAGTGCGCCAACCAGTAGGCTACTTCCACTCTTCATACTGGACGGATACCACACAGGGGGATATTTAGAAATCAAACAGCCAACATGGCAATATTGAAAGAGTGGAACTTACCCAAGTTAAGTCAATGTCAGTGCTTTTTTTCAAGTGGGATATCACTATTTAAACAAATCTAGGTAACTAGTGATAGGCAAGGATGATCCACTATAAGGTTATAAGTTTATAGAACATTGATGAATTGAAAAGGTCAAAGGGTCAAATATATATCAGGTTGTGGCTGACAGCATCATCCAGATCAACTGGGTGGTTTTTGTTTGTAATTGTACTGAAGGCTGTCTATCTCAGACTTTGTTGAATTTGCTCTCGTGGCAGAATATTCCTTTAGTGAATACCGGAAGCCACCTTGAGGAAAAGGCAAGGCTGCTTGTTTCCTGAACATGTCCCTCTATCTGAGGTGTTTCCGTGGCATTAGAGCAGTCAGGTTGTTAGTTTCTTCTTCACCATGGCCTGCAGGGAGGTTTGTATACCCACTTCACCTTCCTCAAAGTCATCAACATCAATCTTTGTTTCACTACTGATTTCATGGCGGCTTGTGTGTGTGAAGCATTTGTCGTGGAATTTTGACGGTCGTATTGGGAAAAACGCGATTAGGCGGTCCAAGGCTGGACTTCATCACTTCCTGTTTCTTTACGAGGTCAGTTCCTGTCTTTAGCCTCAAGGCCAGGAAGGAAGGGGGCGTGGAGTTGTTTTTAGTTAGGGGGGTTAACATCGTCACACAGATTTCCCACCAAGCAGCTGAGGTCAGTAATTGTGCTAGATGAGTTTTCTGATAGACAGGGTTGGATAGAGGCTGGATCTGTCATTTCAGACGGACTTTCCCATCAGCAACTGTTGCAACCTGAGGAAGGCTCTTCTTCCTTTTGCACCCATATAAGCAAGCCCAATGTTATAATGCTTAGAAAAAAAGACGCAATAACTTTATTCATTTAGGCATTCCAACAAGCCACCTCTGTATCTGGAGGATATGGTGACTTCATGTGGAAACAGGATGTCCCAATGGCTGGGACACCTTTCTTTTCCATTGCCCCCCCCCCCCGTCCAGTTTTTGTCCCGTTCCTTTCTTAATGTGTGTGTGTGTGTGTGTATATATTCTATGTGTGTTGCGTTTGGTGACAGCTTGCTTCCCATTGTCCTATCATTCCTGCTCCACTCACCCTCTGCATCCTGTGAGGCTTCCTGCTAGTGAGGCAGAGAGTAGAAAAAAGAAAGGTAAGAGAAGACATGGTGAAATAAGAAAAGTGAAGGATTGGACAAAGTCTGGCAAGAACTTGTGTAAAAGTACCTTAAACTCAACAGATTTAAACAATCCTGTCTCTGAATTCAGAGACACACACACACACACACACACACACACACACACACACACACTCTGAATTCCCCGCTGGGAGAAGCTTATCTGCAGTCCACTGTGCAGGAAAGGGTGTGTCATTTGGATTTGGGTGTTTGCGAGTGTAACGATGGAGGGTGATGTTATTGTGATTTTTATACGAGTGCAAATATATATGCATGTTAATGATTTAGAGGTGATTTGCTTCCTTATATTGTTGTGGAGTACAACAATTGCAATTTCAAACATGTATTTGCTGCTTTTCAGATTATTCTTCGCATCATAATGGCCCTATTATATAAACACTTAAAGCAGCCATTTCACATTCTGATTTTAAGTACACTTTGCTGATAATACTTCTAAAGTGAAACCCTTTTGAACATAGGATTTTTGTGGTGGAGAGCCATTTTACTACTTTTTGAAAAAGCATTAAGGGGAGATATTCCAAATACAAAACACAGCTGTGCATATTGTTTCAGGTTGAGAGATTTCTGACTCCAACCCAATACATAAAAGGTACATTTACTTTGAAGTACTCACAGCATTGCGATACTGTTAAAAATTCCACAGTGACAACTAAAAAAACCCTGATCTTACCAAAGACAGTTTTCTTACGGTCAACCTTTTTGAGCAAAAGGGAAGTTTGTGAATTATTTTTGAATGATATATCCAAACCAAGTAAAATCTTTTCTAACTATTTGTTCATCTAGGTGTCGTTAGATACCTAGATGAACAGGTTTCTAACGACACCTCAAAAAGTGTCAATGACATGGCAAATATGCCTATTAATTAAGATTAAGTAAACCTGATGCTGTGAAAAGGCGTGTTGCTGCATATCACAATGTAAAACCGCACTTCTCCCCACCAGAGGAAACTGCTTCTGTTTTCTCATGATGTATTCTGGCCTGCTGCTATTAAAGGGTTAGCAACCAGTCAGTGATGTGAAACAGTGTTTTGCAACTTCAGACTAATTGAATACTGGTATCTCTCTTAAATGAGTATGATTGAAAAGTGTTTGTTTTTGGGGTGTACATTCGGCAAGATGCAAGCATTAATGGCCGTTGTATCATTAATAAATAATGATAGTGCTATTTGTATTGTTTTCTAGTTTGAAGAGGTAGCAAATGGCTCAACAATATGTGTGCATTTCTGAGGAACAGTGATCAGTTTGTTCATTGTATTTATTTCCCTTATTTATGTATGTATGCACGGATATCGCCTGCTCTCATAACTTACATTTAAAATTACATAGGTTTGTCTTGCAAACTGTGTATAAAGGTTGTTGGTTGGTTTCAATCTGCAAAGAGGAACTCGCACTGTTCTTAAATTACTTTAGTGTCATCTCAGTATACGCACTAATTGATCATGCAACCCCAAAGTACCACACACACACACACACACACACTGCTGTTGCAACTTGAAGTTTGTGGCTGATTCAAAGGGAAACCCAGATCATTATCATAGACTTGTTGATGTGGAGACTCTCTTATAAACCAGTCAGTGGGTGCACAGTAGCACATGTTCCTGTCCGTGCTTGATTGGTGAAGCCTTCGTCCAGTTGGCCGTGTTCCCGGCTGTGTGTGTGACTTTATGTATAAACACTCGGGTCAACTGAACGATCAGATGCTAGTTCAGCTTCACTCTGCAGAGAGGAAGACAAACATTTGATCAACAGGAACCCAACGGAGAACAATGACTGTACGGCCTTCAGCAAACAGTAATGTGTTTGTGTCGGTTTGTCTGTGTGCGTCTACCAGTGCAAGGAAGGGCACTTGAAATTGTAAAAGGTTCCAGATTGCTAGTTCCCCTCTTTAATTTAAAAGTAATGTTACCTTTTCCCTGGTTCATCAAAGTGACGTAAGGATTCCTTTTGATGACTTTATTTTAAACTGGGCCAAGAAGCTAAAAAGTCCTAAAACAACCTAGAACCAGGCAGTAAAGACATCACAACAGTATTTAAAACAGATTCATTTCCGACTTTTATTAGAAATCCTTCAATATACATCGAAGATTGGACCAGAGAAACACTATGAATGATCTACATACAGAATTTTACCAAAAGATTATATATTCAGACCCCTTCACAGGAACCACCAAAACCCGTGTGTTTGATCATTATCAAATTCATGTTGTAATTGAATTATGTAACTCCATGCAGCTAATCCTTTCTGTGGTCACCAGCTTATTTTAGAGAAGCAGAAGATGAAGAGAAGGCAGAGGTGAGATGAAGATGAAAGGCACTTCTCTCTTTTAAAAACTCATCCAAGTGAAGGAAGTCAGCAGTAGCTTCGGTCCGGGGG